ATAACTGGCTGTACGTTCCCAGCGTTCGAGCAGCCAACTAACGAACAACAGATAGAGCGATTCATGAACATAAGAGAACAAGCCGCCCGAACTCGGCCTATGATGATAGTAGTGTCACATGTAATTGAATGTCAGGTCTGGTGTTGATGAAATGTGTACAATTTTCAGAATAAAAACTGCCTGTATAAGCTGCTGTATAAGGGGCCTGTCCACAATAAAAGACACATTTGCACATAACCAAAATCATTTTTTGTCAAGTGTTGAGAGTCAAGAAATGAACTTTAACCATTTTACTGATATTTGTATAATTGTTGGGATGTAGTTTACACAGTTTAATAGGATTTGGTTCATTGTTAAAATAATCAGGATTTTGATGAAAATGTCCTGCTTATTTTAAAAGGGTTCCAGTGGGACATGCACATAACTGTGTCAACTCATGTTTTTTACGTTATCTAAAATACCACTCTCATGGAGAAAGGCAATTCATCTGTCAAGCATGGGTACGACAGGTATAATATTTGAGAAATGTGTCAAAATCTGTGGCCTTTTATTTCTTTAAGTTATCTTAAACAGGAGTTTAAGCTATGTACATGTATGTCACAGTGTCTGTGTACAGAGTGACAAACATAAAACAGACTGATTCTGCCATTCCTTGAGCAGATAACCTGAACAAAAACATATATCTTCCTGAGAAAAGTCTTTACAGTAATATTTTACATCATATTTGTGGATTTTCCCCAATCAGATGACAAAACCAAGATTTGATTTTAGGAATTGCAATTGTCTGTCCACTATTTTGTAACGTGTGTCACAACCCTTCTTTCCCTCTAAATGTACAGATCTTAGAAGACTTATCTTATGAGTACATATACATTTATGATAAAACCAAATTAAATGAAGTAAACAATTCATTAGAAAAGTTGGTTCTTTGGCTGAAATGAAAGGGAGAAGACTGTCTGTCCCCTGGTTATGATATGTGACAAACATTATCTCTGTCCATGTGACAAACGTTAGTCGAGAAAAACTCACTGTGTGCATTTTATCTAAAGTTTAATAGTCTTTTCAACAAAAATGATTTTGAAAACTGAAAACAAACAAGTTTGGTTAATGAACAATTCTGTTTTCATGCTCTAATCCAAACGCCAGAAAAATGTCTATCCATGTGACAGATGTTATACATGTATCTGTCCACAAGACAAACGTGATGTCTGTCCAGTGACAAGCGTTACAGTTTTCTTGAAAAAAATTTCAGTGTTTTCTACACTGGAATTGTTTTTATAAGATAATGACAGTCTCCAAAAGTAAAAAAGAGTACATGATAAATTGCAGGTAATTTTCAATTGCATTTTGAATTTTATTTCCATACTTAAGAAACAATCTGTCCATGTGACAAACATTATGTGACGAAAATGCCCCCCGAACCAGACCTCCTTCCATTTCTTGTCCTCCCCAAATCTCACCTTCTCTTCTAGCGTCCCTGCATTTTTCGTCTTTAGGAGCTCAGGTCTCTTAAAATCCGATATTTGAGTGTCCATTTTCAATGATAAGTCCGTCTCAGTACTTGTCACGCTTGTTTATTTAGTTGTACACTTTACAGCTGCTCACGTGTGTGTGAACTGTACTATAAATAGGCTTAGTATGCAATCCAACATGGCGGCTATTCAAGTGGAATTAAGAGCTTGTGGATTGGTTCAAAGTTCTTAAATTAAATCGAGGTGACTGTGACTTCTAGAAGCAAATTTTATATATTCAAAAGTTGTTAGGAATTATTATTTAGCTTCTTTTTATATAAACTGGTCGATTCTGATGGGATTTTAGAAGTTGTGTAACTTTTGTGATCACTTTTGGACAGTTTCGTCTGATAAGCTCTCAGGTGGTTAGTATGAATATTCATGATTACATCACTGCACTTTTCATCAATGAACTTAGGGTTTGTTTACATTAGATTTGGGGATGTAAACACAACGGAAGAGTGAGCTGTTTTATTATTTCTGTATAATTTATTCACAGGTAAGAAAGTAAGAAGGTGGAGAATTTGTTGAGTATTACTTTTTAGCCTTCTGAGTATGGTTTTGCTCACATGATATGTGAGAAATGAAGGGAAACTTTTTATGAATTAGTTGCCCACCGTAAGCTTCAGGGAAAGTGGGCGTGGCCAAAACTAGTAGTGAGTGAAATGACGTAACAGTCTGGCACACTTTTTAAATGGTATGATTAAGGCAGATTTTCAGTGATTCGGGGCTGTTTTGGTGGATGTTGACCCACGAAACTTCAATTGTGCAGCTGATCGCTGATTTGTCGTAATGTTGGGGAGCCACACAGAACTGTTTCACTGTAGGTTTTGTGGAATTGGGGAGCTCCTGAGTCGAGTGGAATAAGGAAACATTATATAGTGGGATCCAGTACTAGTAAAATTGATACATAATCAGGCTTGGAATTAGTTTTGAGTGGGGAGCATTTTAATTGGGGAGCTGTGACTTTGAGTGGGGAGAATTCAGACTGCTGGGAAGCTTGTTATCAAGTTGCCAAGAGTCGGGGAGCTCGCTGATGACCGAGGAGCCGGGGAGCACTCATTGAGTTGCTGTAAGTTCGATTCCACAATTGTCACTTAGGAAACTTATTGAGATGCTGACAGTGGAGTCAGTGAATTTGATTTACTTGGAGTTAGACTACAGAGTCTGAGTTCCTCTTGGTATTTAGAATAGGCCTGGGGCCTGAGTTATTGACACTGGTCTGGGACTAGTGATTTATTGTTTAGAAGAGGCTTTGGGCCCGAGTTATTAACTTTGAGATTGGCCTGGGGCCAAAGTGTTCAGTTAGCTGGCCTGGGGTCAGAATTACTAATTGAGCCTTGGTGTACTTTATTGAGAAGATAATATACTTAGAGCTCGGATGGTATGTGGAGTACTTATTCCTGTAAGATTTTGGAGGCTTACACGAAGCCTTGTCTTAAGTCAATTGATTATTGAACAAGTTGAAACGATACTTAGTTCAATCTGTACCAGGGTAGGTGATACCTGGTCGCTAGGTACATTGTGTGGAACTTACATTTACTACCTTCCCCCCATTCTCCCTTGCAAATTAATTCTATTCTGTAAATTGAGAAACTGAGTGCTTTGAATACTGAGTGTAAATAGAACTGCTAAGTGAATTGAAGCTGCCGTTGATGCAGTTAAAGAATTGTTTCATCTCTGTTCTGAATTACTGGAGTCTCTGCATATATTATTTGCATTCTGTTTTCCCTGCACTTGATTCTCCTCCTGAAGTAACTTTGTCATACATGACAAAATATGTATATTTTGACCCGGATCCATGCCGGCCGACATGATTTGCTAAACCGGAGAGGCGGAACTCCGGAGGTTTAGGCCTTAACTATTCCGCCTGGTGGCAGCACTATCTTCGGGAGGTTTCACGAGGAACCAAAGCCCCCCCCCTTCCTTCTGCCACAATTATATCTTCAATAATAAACTTCTGTAATTTCTGCTAAATTTATCTTTACCTTTCTGTGACAACAATCTGAAACAGTGAAGACATATGTAAGCAAAAATAATGGAAAAATTTTACAGTTGGAAATTTGCACTGAATGTCACGCAAATGTGTTTTTTACTGTAGTCAGACCATAAGGCACATCATGCAAAAATTGGCAAATAAAGATTTAAAGTCAGCGTGTAAGTCTCACCAATGTGTAACTGGCACTGCAATGCTGATGATCGAACCACGAAGGTCGAGCTGTGAGATGAAATGCCAATACCGCATGTACAGTAAGTCAGTATTTCCACTACACATGCAATCCTAATAAAAGTAGTAAGCAAAATGCGAACAAGTGTCACCATAAAAGTAAATTTAAGTCCTCAAAATTTAATATTTTTTGCGAGCTGCGTGATGGTCCTGCGTGGGCCGTGCATCAACACTTGCCTTTTTTCGGCCAACAAAAGTTGTGCGTTCGGGACTTACTCTAAAATCTTGGTTTCTCAAAGTCAGTTAAGTCAAAAGATCATTTTATCTCGTAGGTTGACTATTTCTTGTCCAAAAGAATAGGCTTCATTAAAAGAAAAGCCTTTGTAACTGTCCGCAGTACTACATCCGGTTATCTTGAGGTTTTGGGACGCTGATAAAAAAACACTGCCAAATCACTTCAAACATGAAAACTCCACTGCGAGACCTTAGTTGGAGTCACCACATTGGAACCACTTGTGTTGCATGCATGCTGCATGCCATATGGCACATATGCACTGCATGCACCATCGTCACACAAACCCAGTTTACAGGCTTGCCTGACTGTTACCGCACACCCATTCATGGACAATCCAATCGCGGACTCTTTCCTATAACCACGTGACCACAGAAAATGTTGTTGTCAGAAAACCCGAGTGAAGAAAAAAACAAAGGAAAGTCTGTGGCATGTCACGCTGAACAGGAGCGGCAAAAAGATGAAAGATGTGCCACACGAAGGTACAACATTGAAGTAGTTGAATTTTATTTAATGGTAAGAAGAAATCTTTAGGTCACAACAATAAAAAAATCTTAGTAAAATGATCTTTTGTTTGCAAAAAATACACCATGAGATTGAATAAAAAGTGGGAAAATAATCACTAAAAATTGTTGCCACAGGGCAAGTAAAGTTTAAGATTTGGTACCTGATTTTATCCTTCAAAGTTTGCCACATAAGCCACCCGGCGTATAAGCCGCAGAAAGACTTTTCAGCGTGAAAATCACTGATAAGCCATGGCTTATATTCTTAAACTTACAGTACTCTGTTCAAACTAATTTCAGTTTTACAGTTTTTTCCCCCTTTTTCGTGTTTCCTTTTTACCCCCTTTGTTTCCTCTTGCATGTGTTGTCTTCACCCAGTGATTTAGCTTTGCTCTTCTCTAAACTCAAGGTCATACTAGTATGTTTTCTGCATGTATATTAATACTTTGTCCTTTGAACATTTACAACATTTTCCTTTGTTAAGATGGGTTGTTGTTTTTAAAAAGTTGTTCACTGTCTTTGTGCAGGAAAAGTTGCAAGCTCTCAATCAAGATATCAGTCGCCTTGATGAACATCAGAGAAAGCTGACCAGACAGAATGCCATTTTGCAGTGAGTTACTTTTTAATTCTAACCCCTTAGGGTGTATGTAAAATCATATTAAAATTTGCATCTGAGCATTAAACATGTTCCCAAGGTCTATCGATGTCAGACTTCATCCTTTCATGTTGGGATATGGTATGAATACTACCCCTGTGATTGGGCAAGTTGCAATGTCCAGCCTATAACCACAGGATTTCCTGACTGGTAACACTCACACAAGTATGATAGCCATGTAAATGCAGTAAAAACTTGGCTTTCAAATTAGCTAATCACCATCACTGACTCAGATGCCATTGTGGTACATGTGGAGCAACTTTTACCACACCACACCACAAAGACACCACAGAAAAAAGGCAAAATCCATCTGCTAGGGACAGTGGTGGACTACTTGTACTCATACCAAGTACAACTCCAGACCTGGTGAGTAATGGACCCCAAAACAAGCACTTGGACTCATCCCCAAACTCAGCATGGTTCATGTGGTCTTGGATTCAATACTAAAAAAAAAAAATTCTATTGCTTGTTTTTGATTCTAAAATTTCCAGTCTAAAAGTTTTTGGCATGCTGCATATTTACATATTATTTGATAGATTTTCTAATGTTTACCGGTACATGTGATTGACTGTTGTGATTGTGAGTGGAGTGTTGATATGCCGTTACTGTTCAGTGTTGTACGAAGAAAAATAAAATGAGGAGCCACAGTCTAGGAAAAGAAATACATGTAGGTGCCAGACCGATTTTTTAACATACTGTAGTGTACACACATTTCCAAATGTCAGTTTGCACCCTGAAGTGCAAACAACTTTGTGGAAGGTCACAACGTGGTCACTTAGGTAAATCTCTGATATCAAAATCCGGGGAGTGGTGTCGGCCGTGGGGTCAGAAGTATATATACAACGTATTACATTACCAAAATTAGGGCTGCGGAACACGCACTCAATTTAGCTTGATTGCAACTGTTTCATTTTCGGTCTAGCTTCGCTTGAGTCAGTCAATGGAGACATCCCATGCTCTACAAGCCACAAGATGTACGCACAGTTACAGTTACTAGATAGGTACACTTGTTGGGTGAAAAGTCTTTTTGCGAGCCACAGATTATAATAATGAGCAAGCGAGGTACGCCAAGAAAAACTGTCCACCTGGTCGCCAAGCGGGCCAGACGATCAGTGGGCCAACAGTCAAAAACATCACCGGGGATCTTGGAGCTCGAGTTGGGGGAGAGAATGAACAGACGTACACTCACTACCAGTGGGGAATTGGTGGGAACGAGTAAGAGTGCAGTGGGCTCACTCTCGGCTTGAGCGCCATTGAGCCAATCAGTTGATATCAGAAAAAAAGAGGGCGCTGTGTGAAATTTAAGCTAAAATAGCAAAAGCAGCTGCGAGCAAGACTAAGCCACATTTCACGCAGTTCGATATCGCGAACTCCTAAAGTAGAGCATTCGTGATTGTTGTACACGATGTACAAATGCATGCCCCTGGTAGCGCACGTATCAACCAATCGGCACGTCGTATACCAAACCGATTGGCAAGCATTGTGGAGTGTACTTTCGTGTGCGTGCAAAAAACAATTCCCGACGTTATCGTAAAACTGCGTGAATGAAGATGGCTTCAACTTCTAAAAAAGACACCCCAAAATGGAAGCAATCTTTCAAAAGGGAATATACGGAGAATTTTGAATGCATATTACCTTCCCAGATAGGTGAACATTACGCTCGCTGCACTTTGTATTGTTTTGACTTCAGTATCGCGTATAGTGGGAGTTAGATGTACCTCGCTACATCGAAAGCAGTTAACACCGCGACATCACTGACACGAAGAATATGACCCACAGCATCAGAAACTCCATGTCTTCTGAAGATTTAAGCACCATCAGAGCTGAGACCCTTTTGACAGATTACGTAGTTCGGCACAATCTGCCATTCGCGTCATCGAATGATTTCACAGATATAGAAAAGACAATTTTCTAGACAGCAAAATCGCATCTGTGTTTGTTTGTCGTAGGACAAAAAACTACCGCTAATTGCACGAACCACACGTATTAAAGTTCAAATAGTATGTAGTCATGCAAAGGTAGTTGTAAGCTTGTCTTTCCTGTCTGTTTTGGAAAATACACATTTTTATTGAAAAATAAACATTTTGGAACTTCTGAATACACTTTTGTGATTCTAAAGGTTGGCAGGTCTACAGGTGTGTTCTCATTTTTTATTTTTAGCTTTAACTAAGAAATGGAAAGACATTACTTGTATGATTGATAGATCACTGTTAACTATTGACTGATCTAACTGTTTTGGTTTGGAGGTGAATTGATAATTTGTTTTTGTTAAATTTTAAACTGCTCATTCCTTTGCTCACTTGCTCATTCCATGCTTAATTCACTGCTTATTTGCTCATTTGATTGTTCATTTGCTCGTTCATTCCTTGCTCTTTTCGCTGCTCATTTGTTTATTTATTTCTGCATTTAATCATTTATGCTCATGTGCTCATTTCAGTGCTCCTTTGCTCATTTATTTCCTGATTTGCTCATTTCAGTGCTCATTATTTTGACCATTTCAGTGCTCATTTGCTCATTCTTTGCTCTTTTCACTGCTCATTTGCTCAAAGAGCACTAAAATGAGTAAATAAGCAAATAACTGAGTAAATGAGCACTGTTTTGAGGGGAGACTTACTTTATGGGTACAGTATGCACAAATGTAAATGAAATTCCAATACTTGTTCTTTCACTCTGTAAAGGTTTGATCACATTTGTGTATCAAGCTTGGGAGGGGAGGGGGCAACTAGTCCTGCCTCTGGTGACATTTTCAGAAAATTAAAGTGCCAACTGAAGCAAAAAAACGAAAACAAATGATCAATTTGCCTCCAAACCAAAACAGTTGGATCAATCAATGGTTATTAGTGATCTGTCAATTGGTTGGTGACTTCAGTGATTCATTTTTTATGAGTCCAATATCTGCAAATGAACTTTTAAAATGCATAAACAAACTAATGTCCGAAAAGAGCTCTGGGCATGATAATTGGGGTGCATTCCTTGTTGAGATAATTAGACATGAAATTGTTTCTCCTCTGTTAAAAATTTGTAACTTATCATTAATATCTGGAACCCTGCCAAATGACTTTAAGGTTGCTGAAGTAATTCCTGTATTCAAAATTGGTGACCTAGCTTATATCCAATTACTGTCCTATTTTTATACTACCGTGTCTTTTCAAAGTCCTAGAATGTCTTGTACCAAATTGTCTGGATTCATTTTTAACCAAATATTATATCTTAACTAAGTCACAGTATGGATTTCGTGCAAACTACTCGACCCAAACGGTTCTAGTTGACCATGTTGATAAAATTAGCTTTTCTTTAGACAATCTTCTCATAATATTGCATTGTTTCTGGACCTATCCAAGGCATTCGATACGATAGATCATAATATTTTGCTTTTAAAACTGAACAGATATGACAGAGGGGTGGCTTTGGATTGCTTTAGAACTATCTTTCTGACCAAAAACAGTTTGTCCAATGGAAACATTCTTCATCAACCCTTAAACCTATCAGATGTGGTGTCCCACAAGGATCAATTCTAGGCCCTATTCTTTGTCTCACTTATATCAACGACATACATAATTCTTCAAGTTTGGTATCCTTAATTTTATTTGCAGATGATACTAATATTGTATACATTCATAATCATTTAAAGGAAGTTGTCAGTACTTCAAACAAAGAATTACATTGTATGTCGCATTTCGTATTGGTTCCAGAGTAATTAGCTTTCTATCAATGAAAAAAAGACGTGTATTTTGTGTACGTAAACGTACTAGTATCACATTTCTACTGTGCATTCATAACCTTAATAATAAAGCAGTTGTCTAGAGTTGTATCATTCTGAGATGTTCGGACATAGAAAATCTTTGCTTAATTCAAACTTTCAAGCTGTACCTTCAATTATCTTACTCTCTTTACTCTCTCTTCTCTACCTTGTAATTATAGCCTCATATGGATATTATTATAACAAATAAGGAACCAGGCCACAACAAGCATTTGCTTTTCTGTCTGGTATCCGCCATTCATCATCTTTTATTTTATTCTGTAACAACATTGTTTCTTTATGTTCTAATTGTGATGTATGGAAATAAACCAAACCAAACCACCACCAAGCACCTATAAAGTCTTCCATTGAACCTTAGTTGCTTGACTTGTGCAAACTTACAGCCAGAAGTCTATCTTGGTCAGAACTGCCGCACACCAGAGGGCGCACTTTTACTTCTTGTAACCTAAGAAGTTAGACTTGCCACTCAGGTACTAAATTTACAGCTCTTTCTATCACAAAAGTGTGCCTCATTTATAGAATTGCTGTTGTTTTGTTTTAGTTTCATATACCTGGGTTCTACTATGAAAGAACATTATGACTGAATTATGAATTGACCTATCACAGTTGAATTGTGTCAGCTCAGCTTGTAAAATAATATCAAATTACAGTACTGCATGGACTCAGGATACACAAAAACCAAGAAAAATACACTGAATCTACAAAATGTAAATCACAGGGTTTTCTAAGGATTGTCTCTAACTTGCAAGTAGTAATAGATCAGTTGGCTTAACTTCGAGTAGGACTCGCACAAAAATGGTAGCAGACTTTGTTCAGACTTGAGCTATTATTGATTCAACTTGGTTTAGGCTTTTTTGAGGTAGACTTGAATGCATCACTTCATTACTCAGTAAAAGTCACTGTTAGTCAATCTTAACGACACCAATATTTTTGCAACAAAGGAACCGATTTTTTTTGGGGGGGGGAAGGGAGGGGACTTTTTGGGGTTGGAGTTTTTGAAATATGTTTATGTAACCTTTAATGGCTGTGCTGAGGGTTGAGGCTACATTTTAGAGCTTTATACGCATTTTTGGAAGGAAGGGAAATTTGATAAACCAAACAATTGGACACTTCATACTTATTTTTCCGGAAAAAAAATCTGCTTTTGGGTGATCTGCTCATGGTCAATATTCGCCTGAAGTGCTAAATTCAGTCTGGAAAGTGTGGCTTCAGACACAGGTCATCATTATGGTTTTGGACGTGAAATTTCATCTTCCTATACCATTCAAAACACCTTTTTTGCTGTACTACAGAAAACACATGTTAGAGTGTCAGTCTTCTTGATTTCACTTGGCTACACTACAAGAAGGACTTGTAAAGTCATTTATTATTTTCACCTGTTTGTTACATTTCAGGAAACAAGCACATTTAAGTGTCATTTCAAGGTCAAAATTTGCCATTGGCAGTATGGAGTACAAAAATATCTTTTTAACTCTGGTTTGTTGTTCAGTATTAGGCCTCAAAATACTCTGAATAAGCATTAATAAGATATGTTGAGCACTTAACATCTTACTCAGAAGGTGAACAAATTTGCTCTCTGTACTTGAGAACTGTAGAGGCACTGGTGCTGCCGACAGTGTGGTGGATGGTTTTTGCGGAGGGACACCTCTACAGCAGATGGCAGCATCTAATAAAATGTAACTTTTGGCAGAAAATCTCAATATTTCAACTTCTGTGTTATTGTGATTTTGTTTTTAAATATTAAATTCAATTTTTTTTCCTTAACATATGCAGTCCAGAACGAGACATGGTGAGAACACAACACGAAGAGGTGATTTCCCAGCTCAATCAGCGTATGGCAGATAAAGCCAGGTAATTTTTCAATTTTTTTTTGGGAGTAATATGTAAATTGGTGTGGTTATAAAGTCTCAAACATCTGGTGAATTTTCAACTCTATAGGATAAAGTCAGTCCACTTTTCAGTAGAATTGATTTCCATTGCATTCCAGTCAGAGATGATGGAAATAGTGTTACCGATGTCCCTTCGTCATGCTCTGATTTTATTATTCTAGCACTTGGCCATCTTGCCTGTGTTATAGTTTTTAAAGTCACCCTCTTGTTTTTACTAAGTCACATGAGAATTTGTACTGGTATGTT